TTTTCCTTAAGATTGTTTTAAAAGAAATTTTTAGGTATTCGACCTACCTAACCCAAAGGTCGATGACGACTCCTATTCAATTTAATTCAAATTAATTCAAAATGGTCAATTTTTCAAAATAAAATCATAATTATTTTTAAACTTATTTTTTTTTTCAAAAAAAAAAATGGTTATGATCACTATTAAAAAAGATTTAGTTATTAATAACACATACACAACCGTAAATACATTTACTTGTATCTAAAACATTCAAGGAGAATAACACTCTCTTAAGTCATCGAGCCCCCTTGATGAGTTCTAATAGTTGTATTATTTTGTTAGGCATTGTAAAGTGTTTTCTATCATTACCAAGTTATCGAACCATGATCCTAGATTTTAGTTATTTTCTATATGTATTCCTGTCTAATGTTCGACTTCTAAGAGATATTTGGATCAATAAATTTAACGACATAAAATTCTTTTTGATACACCATATAAATATTCACATTTACAGGTTTTATGCTCAAGATTCAAACATTACAAAAATATATATTTATATATTGTGCAACGTATTCAATAGGGATTTAATCCCGCTAGGACTTGGTATGAGAGTTGAGTTGGTCGAAATTATGATGGAACATTTCCCAGATGATAATGAACAAGATGTCAACCGATGTCACTACTCTAACTATGGTTCCATCGACACCCATTAAGAAAATGTTTTTGATTTTATGCATTTCTTTTGCTGAAATATAGAAAAATATCCATTAACTGCATTTCCAACTCATTAACGTTATTTTATTAAGCTAACGTAATTGTAAAATAGTATTTGTTCTAAATACTTTCAACCAGTTAATTTAAAGTCACTTAATATTTTATTAAGCTAACATAAATAATAGTTGAGACTAAAACATATAACGTCACTTAATAGTAGTTGCATCATATATCTGATTTAAAGTCCCATGATACCGAAGAGTCAGAAACAGATGAATTCATACCAATATCTACGCATCATTTTTTTTACCCCGGGAATAAAGAATTTGGTTTACGCACTTTAAAATATGATTGGAATTTTAGATGAAAAGTTGGGAGTCGCCACCAATCTGTTTAAGGTGAGATTGAAACACTAAAAAAGTTTAAGGTTTACGAAACCCAAAATAATTTTGGGGCATGGTTACATGTGAGGAATGGTTAGCACCCTCACAACACCCGTAAAAATAGCGTTTACTTGAACACGAATATTTTTGCTTAGACTATGAATGTAATTAAAGTTTTTTAAATTAATATAGAATTTTTAATTTGTAAGGATGATCTTGAATTCTCTAATAGCTAAGAGAATCAAAATTATGCTCGAAAACCCTAAAAATTCATAAATTAATATGTGTAAAATTTCGATGGTGAAGTCTTTCATAGGTGATTTTTTTGCAGGTGAAGTCTTTCATAGTTGATTTCGAGCTTTCTGCAACATCTAGAAGAACATTAAAATTAATCCCATTCAAGAAGACATCTCGATTTTCATGAATAATGTTAAAAACTTGGAAGTTACAACTCTTTGAAACACCTCAATTTTTCTAACATCTAAGAAATTTAGAAATGTTCTTCAAAGTTCAAAAATCTCGTGATCGTGATGATATTGTTTATGAAAAATCAAAGATATATTCTCTCATTAAATAACCTCGAAATCCTCCAACATCTAGAAAGATATTAAATGTCCAATTAATTTGAGAATATACCTGTTTAAAATAATGTGACGAAAGTATTAAAAATGTATAATATGTTTCTTTAATCTAAATGCGAAGAATTTAAACAAAAAAAACTCATTATCCATTCTAGATTATAAAAATAACTATTATAGATTCTAAAAAAAAATACTAATGTTTTCTAATCCTAACATCAAGAGCTAAATTCTCTAATACCTAAAATAAAATAAAATAAAATGGGAGATGCAAACTAAAAAAGAATTTAAAGGCTCTACCTCATTCAACATCTAGAACAAGTAAGCCCCCTTCAAAAAAAAATCTCAATAATAATAAATGTGTTTTAATAAAAAAAAATCCGAATGACGTTCGTCGTCTAATGATATGTATGTGTTGTGGCAGCATGGAATGGTGGGTCATCAGGAAATGGTAGGGAATGACGAGCAAATGGAAATTCCAACTAATACAAATTATCTTCTCTATTATAATCAAACTTATATTAAATTAAACTCTTATTTTCTTATCACTTAATTATTTTACATGTAATATTAAATTTCAAAATAATAATTTAAAATAAATAAATATAATTTTTTTATTTTTTTTTAATTTAAATAAATTCAATAATTACATAAATTATTTCAATTAACACAAAACTCCGATAATAAAATATAGCTTTCCTTTCTACTCTTCCGAAAACCACTTGATATGCATGCATTCGTTCAGTCTGAAGGTAAAAGAATGCAAGGCTTTAGAGAAGAAAGAAATGTAATAATATCGATGCTTAATGTAAAAGTAAGTGTCTAAACTATATTAAAATTAATTTTTATTTAAAAGTTTTTTTTATTAAAAATAGGTGTTTAAAGTTTCTAATGTTACATTTATAGATGCATATACCGTAACAGTTACTAAAAAATCGTTAAGTGACACGTGTCACATTTATATATTTTAAAATTTTTTATTTTAAAATTTTTAAAATAACTAAAATTTTATAAAATTATAAAAAATCAGAATTCTAAAATCCTTTATTTCAACTCCTATACCAACCTTCGTTATCTTCAATCGTCCACTCACCCTTCGTTGGGCTTCCGCTGCCTATCATCCCTTTTGTCGTTGTCTCAATACCCCTAAATCCATAAATCCCTAAACTCAAATCTTTAACTTTAATCCCAAATCCCTAACCTAATCTTAAAAGTATTAGATTTTTTTTCTATTTTTGGAGAGAAGATGATGTGGCGACGAAGAGGGGAAGCGATGACATGTAAGTGAGAGAATAATGATGATTGGCGATGGGTTTTGTCGAAGAGAGGAGAAATGACAATGAGAAACGGAGAGTAATAAGACTGACAATGGTAAGTAGTTATTCGGCGGCCATGGCAGCCGATAAGGGTTGGTAATAAGGTTTGAAATGAGAAGTTTTGAGATTTTATAGTTTTTTTTTATAATTTTAAAAAAATTAAGTTTTTTCTGGTATGAGAGATTTTTTCTAAAATTTTTTTAATAATATTCTTAATTTTTTAATAAAATAATTTTTTTAGAAAAATGAAAGGAACATGTGTCAGTTGACGATTGTTTTAACGACCGTTACGATGTAGACATATAAAATTACAACGTTAAAAACATTAGATATATATTTTTAATAAAAATATTAGATACCTGAAATTAATTTTGTATATAATTTAGACACTTATTTTTATATTAAATCATAATAATAATAATAAAGCAGGATAGGAGAAGAAGGCAATTTATAAGAACTCCAATAAAAGCTGGGGATGGGTTGAAAGCGGTGGATAATAGTGATTCACTTCCTAAAAATTTAGTTTTTATATTTTAAATATTTTTTATTTTATATTGATTATATGTTTTTATCTCTAAATTTTTTTATAAGTTTATTGTTATTAAAATTTTATAAGTTTTATCTCTATTAAAATCTTACGCTTAATTTGAAAAAGTGTCCAAACTATACATCTTTTTCCATTTAGGTATTTAATTTTTTTTTTGGATCAATTATGCACCTGAAATTACCAACATTATTATACAGGTTCTTATGTAGCAACAACAATTAAAAATTATTAAAATCAATCAATCTTTGACATGGGACCTATTTTTTTCTTTAGTTTTTTTAAAAAAATATAATTCATAATTTTAAAAAATAGTTTTACTTATTTTCATAAAATAATCAGAAAATTCAATTTCATCGACAACCACTACTACCATCGTCAATCATCAACTCATCCATCGACGACTCATTCATTGATTAGGATGATTGTGTGTTGGAATCTAAGGATTTTGGGATTTGAAGTCAGTGATAATCGATGATAGGTGGGTAAACGACGACAAATGAATAGATGACCAGTGGGGATGACAATAACAGTAGATAACTTACGAATATGATAAATGCCTTGAGATTAAGGAATTTTTTTAGGTTTTAGAAATATTTTGGTATTTTTCTTTTTGCAAAATAATAATATATTTATATTTATAATTTTTTTAAAAAAAATTATAAGGAATTTTTTAAGTCTTTTTGCAAAATATTTTGGTATTTTAGGTTTTAGAAATATTTTGGTATTTTTCTTTTTGCAAAATAATAATATATTTATATATTTAATTTTTTTTTTAAAATTATAAAGATGCAGTATATTGTATTTTTTTAATGATTGATAAACATCTGATATGGTTGACATGCTCATATGATAATATCGATAATATTAGAGATCTAAATTGATTTAAAAAATTTAAATAACTAAATATAAAAATGTGTAATTTATATATTTTCTGTATTAAATTAAAAATATATAAATTTGCTACAAGAAATTCTATTGATAATAGATCGAATATATATATATATATATCTAAATTGATTAAAAAATTAAATAATTAAATATAAAAATGTGTAATTTATATATTTTTCTGTATTAAATTAAAATTATATAAATTTGCTCCAAAAACTCTATTGATAGTAGATCGAATATATATGTCCATATTTATTCAAAAAAAATATATATATGTCCATGTGATGCGGCACCGTACCTGCATTGCTTCCTCTGGCATCCATCTCAAACTGCCCCATGTGAGCACCGACAACAGCCAGCTTGCATTCAATCAGGACCTGTGTTTTATCCTCTACATTCTCAGTTCGACATTCCTCCTCCACCCTACCAATTATATATCGACACGTCATAATACAACATCATACTTTCACAAAAACAACCTTACCGCCAATCAAAATTACCAAACCGCCACCACCGTTTCACGTGGCATCCAACCCCAGCAACTCACCCATCTTTAAAGTCACGCACGAATATACTCCCTCGACGCGGCGTAGCCAGTTGTCATTTTCCTGTTTTCCAAAATCCCACACTTTTTGTTTAATTTGCCCTTATTATCTTTTATATCTAAGCATTTCTACATTACATTTTTCAAGAAAAGAACTCAGAAATTAAGCAAAGAAAAAAAACATGGCCAAAGTCTTCTTGTTCGTTGCACTATGTGTGCTTCCAGCTCTGGTCAGTGCTACACGCATGGTGAAGAACCCATCATTGGTGGTACAAGGGCATGTGTACTGTGACCGCTGCCGTGCTGGTTTTGAAACCCCCAAGAGCCGATGCGTTCCTGGTACCCTTTATGTCATTTTTTTGTGTTTACGTTGGTGCCATGTTGGATCTGGTGTTTTAGCTTCTGAACTGGTAGATCTATGAACTAGTTTCCAGGTTTTGATGTTACTTTGAGTTGAAATGAAAAATAGGGTATTTGTAAAAAGCACAAAGCTCGAGTCTTGGAAATCAATAGGAGATCCAAAGGTGAAAACTTTATGGTTTTAAGATAATAGGTCTGCTCTTGGTTTTATTATGTAGCTGTGGCCGTGGGTGGTGTTGAGAAATTAATTGTGTCGATTTGATGTATTTGGTTCTGAATTTTTGGCTTTGCAGATGCGACGGTTAAGTTGATGTGCTCCGACAGGAAGACCGGCAAAGTTGTGTACGAGAAGGAGGGCTACACCGACAAAGCCGGAAAATACGAGATTGTTGTGCCCGAGGATCACTGGGATCAGATCTGCGATGCACTTCTCGTGAAGAGCTCCCAGCCTGATTGTGCCACGATGACACCGGGCCGTGAACGTGCCCGTGTTATCTTGACCAACTACAACGGCATCGCATCCACCACCCGATACGCCAACGCGATGGGCTTCATGGCTGACCAGCCCGAAGCTGGCTGTGCTGAGATGATGAAGATGTATCAGGAAGACGAGGAAGATCTTTAGAGTGTGGTTTGGAGTTGTATGCATATGAATTATGTTGTCTGCTATTTGTTATGTGAATTGCTTCCTTCATTTCTATATTTAGAGGACTTAAAAATAACTTATTTTCTTTGAATTGCTTCTGTCTCGGAAGTGTTCTTTTGGGTAATTGCTGTTCTTTTCACCTGATGGATCTTCCAATTCATTACGAAAACATTTGTTTTATTCATAATTTGCCAGTGAAGATGGATTTAAAACAGCTGTTTACTGATCAAGAAATAAGACCCTTCTTCTATTGCCATCAAATCGTCTTGGGGACTCTATTAGCACGATTGTAATCAGCACAGTTGGGGACTTTATTAGCACGATTGTAATCAGTAGGTTGTTCAAATAATCGAACTGATTGAACTAATTCGGTTAATCGATTGAATCGAATTAGTTTGGTTAATTCGGTTCGGTTATCGAATTAGTTCGGTCGGTTAACGGTTAAGAAAATTTTTAGAATTCAGTTAACGGTTAATTCGGTTCGAATTCGGTTAATTAATCGAATTAATCGAAATTAAATTTTAAATTTTAAATATATTATATATAACATATGAGTTTAACCCAAATCATTTAAAACCCAATTAATAATTTAAGATCCAATAACTTTTAAACTTAAATCAATATTAATTAATTAAAAAATTATATAAATTTTTTATTTTATAATTATATATTATTTAAATTAATTATAAACTGTTTTTTAATTAAAAAATATAAAATATATTATATATAAAATATGGACTAAGTCCAAACAATTTAAAACCCAATTAATAATTTAAGATCTAATAACTTTTAAACTTAAATCAATATTAATTAATTAAAAAATTTATCCAAAATTTTTTATTTTATAATTATATATTATTTAAATTAATTATAAACTTTTTTTGAATTAAAAAATATTTAATTTTTATATAAATTAGAAAATTTTAAAAAAAATTCGGTTAATTCGAAATTAACCGAATTAACCGAAATTTATTCGGTTCGATTAATATGTTCGAAAAAAATTCGGTTCGATTAACGGTTAAAGAAAAAAAATTTGATTAATTCGGTTATGGTTAATTCGGTTCGGTCGACCATCGTTTTAACCGAATGAACACCCCTAGTAATTAGCACAGTTGGAGACTCTATTAACATGATGGTAGCCCTCACTCTATTCTACAACATCTCTATTTCTATTATACAATATTTCTATCTTTACTTTAAATATATAACATTTCTATCTCTACTCTAAAGATAAATCAATTATTCACTAATTTTATTTTATTTATAATATTTAATTATTATAATATTAATTTTATAAATATAAAATAAAATATATACTTTTTTAATAAATTTCAAGATAAAAGTATAAATAAAACATTTAAAATAACAAAAGAAATTTAAAAAAATAAAAAATCAGAAGAAGAAAAAAAGTGTAGTTGGAGCACTATTTTTACTAAGTAGAGATTTTCTTTACTCAGCGATGCGCTGGAGCTGCTCTAAGTACGCATTATGGCGCTGGCTTTTGTATCAAGTTGAGTAAAATTTGACCGAGTAAAATTTGACTTTTGACTCGAGTAAAATATAACTCGAATAATTTGAGTAATTTGAAAATTTTATTAATCAGTGTATTTCTTTTCAAGTTTGAGTTATGATATATTTATTATTTTAATATGAAGAAATATATTTATATTTTATATATATTATAGAAAGTCATTTAAATTAGAATCAAATAATATTATAATTATTTACAATTAAATTTAAATCGAAAAATCTACTTAAAATATTTTCTTTCAAATCAACTCCGATCTGAGTTGTAAAGTAGGACTGTCAACTTAAATAACTAAAATTTTTTTTACTCACCTCAACTCGACTCGATCGAACGTTCACCCCATACTTTTCATGTTAAAGGTAGGCCTCTAAGTGAATGCGACTCATTCATATTCGTTCAAATTTGTTCAATTTAACCGAATAAACAAACAAACACGAACAATTAAACAAACGAAGTTTCTTGTCCGTATTCATTTATTAAGAAATGTAACTTATTCGTGTTCGTTAATGTTCGTTCGTTAAAATGATAAACGAACACCAACGAATAAATATAAAGAACGAACATAGAATTTTATTCGAGAAGAGTCCTTTCTTTCCAAATAATTTTAGGATTTATATTTTCTATAATTGATTGAAGTATTTTTATTTATGTTTAGAAGTAATTAGATTTTAAAATATTAATGGGTTAAGGTTAAAATTTATTAGGTCTTAATATTTTAAACGAGTATGGGGATTAGACTAAACTAAATATAAACGAAGAAACATAAATGATCATAAACAAATAAGAATAAAAGAACATGAATAAATGAACATATATAAATGAATTATTGAACATTCACGAACGTAAATGAACTAACGAGTCTGTTGTTTGTGTTTGTTCATTTAATTAATCGAACGTAAACTCTTATTCATGTTCGTTCATTTAATAAATAAACGAATGTAAACAAATTTCCCGTTAAATGATTTACCAGCTGTTTACTGACAATTTAATTCGTTTACAGGTACAAAGAAGTGTTCTGAGGGTGCTTAGCTGCATGCATTGTCTTATGAATGTGTTAGAGGACCACTCTGTTACAAGATAACATCCAAATACTACAACTGAACTGATGTCTTAGAAGCGTCTTACTGGAAAGCTAAACCATATATGGATCAGTAAGTTACATTGGCTATAAAGTTGTCTGTATTTTCCGACGAGCTTTGCATCATTAAACCACCTCAATCTCCTAGTCTTTGTCTCCGATTCTTAAGAAATAAGACCCCTCTTCTATCACCATCGAACCATCTTCATCGGCTGAGCTAAGATGCTCACATGGTCTCAACTCAAGTTCAATATCACCTCTTTCCCCTGCATTCATATTAACACTTTGGAATGCAACCAATTGTTTCACCGGCCTCCTATTACTCATCTTTGCCGGCCTCACAAATAGCAATAGGGGATGCTTACCGGCCAATTCGCTGTTGTTTTGAGCTCCAACCGTGACCGGGAACTTCATCTTATCACAAACTTCGGTTCCTATCTTTGAAACGGTATGTATCCGGGAGGATTAGAGTTCTCGTCCGTTTGAGAACTTATCTGATTGTTTAGATAGACCTTGTTTTGTTTTACAGGGAGAATTTCGTATGTATAATTTGAGTAGCTGAGGCCATAACCGACCTTTGGTCCTCGGTAGAATCTGTAGGTGCGTCCGGGATAGCCGGAAGATGGTTCGGGATGCATTCTCATGTCTGTCATTGGTACATTAACGTAACTTTGCCGATACCAAGTAACTGGTAATCTCCCTCCTGTGTATGAACATGAAGCTTAAAAAAAGTATCTTTTTGTTTAAACTATAGGTCAAGATGTATGAATGAGAACTCACCGGGATTGTGATCGCCGAATATAATTTCGGTTAATGCACGGCCTCCAGCTTCACCTGGATAACCGGCCCATAGAATGCTTCCGATGCGTTTGGCGAACGATATATCGACTGCACCTCCGGAAAGAAGCACCAAAATGACTGGATTCTTAGCAGCTCTTGCAATGGTGGATATCAGCTCCTGTTGCTTCGGTGGAAGAATAAAGTCGACTCGATCAAATTTTCCCTCTTGGGTTTGATCCAATCCCATTACTAACACCACACGATCCGCTCCAGACGCTACATTCATTGCTTGAGCAGTGAAGGCAGTAGAACAATTAACTGCAGTACAACCTTGGTGAAACCTAGTGTCTCTAACATAGCCTTGCAACCCCTGCAATGGTGTAACAGATTTACAAGGAGGGCCTGCATATTTTCCGAGCAATGTTTGCACGGAATCAGCAATGGGGCCTATTACAGCAAGAGAAGTTGTTCCGGTTTTCGAAAGAGGAAGGAGTTTATCGGTGTTTTTCAGAAGGACAATGCCATTACAAGCAGCCTCAAGGGCAAGATTCTGATGCTCTTGAGAACAAATTTGATCTGAACCGAATGTCACCAAAAGGCAGTGTAACCGGATCACCACTGAAAAGCCCGACTCTCATCCTCACCGAGAAAAGGTTGTAATCAGATACAAGCAATTTTCGGTTTTCGACTGCTTTTTTCGTGTATTTCAACAAAAACGAACCACAATCCTCATCAGTTCCTGCAAATTTCAAGTACACTAATATAGACATCTACGACATTCACATCCAAGTCCAAGTCACAGGCATTCGATAACCAAAAACCGACATATCATACATATATAACAATGATGAAAATGTAGAATTCATTTGGCAAAAGAACAGAATTGATCATCAATACTGGCTTTAAGAACATCTGCAGCAGCATCTTCTGGCACTTCAACATACCCTTGTTGTTCAAAAATGGTGGCGACAGCATCACAGTCTGCAGTGATATACCCTTTAAAACCCCACCGGCCTCCGGCTGTTTCCGACAAGAGATCGTATTTGGCGCAGTTGGGGATTCCGTTAACCTGATTGTAAGCACACATTACCCCACTGGCTCTCCCTTGTTCTATGCAACTCTGGAATGGTGGCTGATATGTATCTGCTAAATCCTGTGAACTCACCTGAAATCCAAAGAAATAACCAAATGGGGAGTTTCAACCAATCAAAAAAACAAAGTTCTTTTTTTTTCTTCTGAAATTTAGTACATACATTTGCATTGAAGATATATCTTGTCATCCCATTTCAATTATCCAAATAATAAGCTGTAAAATGCTTACAACAAGAGGAAGCTTGAATATTTTCACCAAGTGTCCCACCTTCAAAAGAGTCCCCTTGTAATCCTCTCACATACGAAACTGCATATTTCCCAGTAACCAAAGGATCCTCACCGGGTGTTTCTTGCCCTCGTCCCCTCCTCGGGTCCCTAAATATATTAATGTTTGGTACCCAAAATGTTAACCCCATTGCTTGTCCACCGTTGTAAATTGCTCTGCCTTCGATTCCAACAGCCTGAAAAAAGGGGTTCTTTTTTTGCTTGTCGTCTAAGGTATCTACTTTCAGTTAAAACAAAGAACAGTCCTTTAAAAGGGCTTGCCTCAGCAAATACGGTACCAGAGATGAACATCAAAGGAAGCGGCTGTGAGAATGACTTGAGGGAAACTGGTGGCCGTTTGAATTGTTCCGTTGAAACGAATGCCTCTGCTGACGGCTAAACCGTGCAAGGCTTCCGACCACCATTGGTATTCCGGGATGCCGAGTCTTGGGATGGCGGGAGCTGAGTTGGGATATCTTTTCGTCTAATGTGAGTCGAGACACCAAATCTCGAACTCGTTCGGTGGTGGGGAGTGTGGGATCGCAGAAAGGGTAGGACTTGGTGGCTGGGTCGGATGAGTCGCAGGCGAATGGAGGCTGAGTCGACTCAGATAAGATGATGAGCAATGAAGTGGTGTGGATGGGATAAAGGAGCAATGGAGTTTGGAGCTTCAGCATGGTGGTGAGTTTGGCCACCGAGTTGTTTGAACATAACATGAAACGAGTTGAGCGAAAAGGTCAGTGGTGCCTGCCAGTGTTGGATTTTTGGCGTATGTACTTGCTTAAAAGAGTGCCGTTACACTCATATGCGTAACAAATGGCCTTGCTTTTTGCTAATAATTACAACTTAACCCGACATAGATTTGTGATTTTTTAGGCTAAACTATTAGCATGACCACATTATTTTAACTATAAAATTTGAAATTTTATTAATGTGATCACTTAATTATTTAAGTGTGGCAATTAAGACACATATTGTTAGTGTTTAATATAAAAAGTAATGTGAAAATTAAAAATTTTGATATAATTTTACATTTAATTCATGTTATTTATATGTTCTATAAAATTTGATCATAATTTTAATCGATTAAAATAAGCATAATCATCGAATTATATGGTTCTAAAATTATATCTTATTATTATTCTTTTTTAGAAAAAAATGATCCTTAATTTTTTTAATTATGATATACGTTAAGAGCAATTATAAAAAAGTCGAGTTGAACTCGAGTATTTCTGAGCTTGACTCGATTCAAGAACTTTAAAATGGAGTTCGATTCGGTTTGAAAACTCACGAGCCTAAAATTTTCATGCTTGACTCGGACTCGAAATCATGAATTGAAGCTCGTAAAAGCTCGAAAGAAAAATCTTAAACTTAACTTTATTGAATCCTCCAACTCAAACTCAAACTTGAACCTTAAATACATACAAATCTTATACTGCATTTATAAAATAAAAAATCAACACATAAATGTTACTATTATTAATAATTTATTTTTTAAAAATAAAATCTTGATATATTATATTTTCAAGTTGTTCATGAGACTTTCGAATTAAGTATCTCGTTTTAGCTCATTAAGAACTCGAGTCGAGCTCGAGTCAAGTCTATGCAAGTCGAGTATTTATCAAGTTTTGACCAAATCGATCTGGAATAGCTCACGATATATCTCGTTTCATTAACGACCCTAGATAGCATACACATTTCTTACATTATTCAGAGTGATACACAAAGACAATAGACCAACAATACCATTTTGTGCGCACGACAACTTTGTTCCAAGTAAGGATTAAAGGTTATTGATGATAGAATTTGGGGCTGAGCAAAACTCGATTAAGAAAATATAACTTTTCGAGTCGACTCGAATTGATTTCGAGTTATAATTTTATAAATTTTACTCGCGAAAAAATTTCAAACTCAAAGTCGAGTTATAAATTAGAACTGAATAACTCAAATTTTTTAATAATTAGTGGATTGATTTTTAAGTTTGAATGATACATGTATATCACATGTGAAAAAAAAAATCTGGTGGTATTGGAATTCAGATGTTAAAGGGTCATAAGGATCGTCTTTAGGTCCGATTTCTTCAGGAGTTCAGGCAAAATACAAGTGTGGGGATGGTATTCCGAATGACATAGCTCGTACTCGATGCTCTACACTTTGGAAGGGATTGTCCTGCATTTGGGCGGATGTTCTACAAAACGTAACTTGGTGTATCGGTAATGGTCGTGAGGTTGACTTCTGGTTTGACGACTGGTTAGATGAATATTGATAAATCATGTCTTGACGGCTGGAATGATCGGCATGCAGAGGGTGACGATTGCAGACATGATTGATGATCAAGGAAAATGGCGTTGGGACTTTGAGGATATGCTTTCTCCCAACATTTCTCCCAACAATGGTTTGATGTTATGATTTGGACGATGGATAGGGAGAAGACTTGTACGACAGGAATAATGATTAGGGAGAGTCGATTAACTCGTTGGTTACCTCCTCCGGTGGGATGGATGAAAGTAAATACTGATGGAGCTTGCCATACGGAAGATGGGCTCGCCGCTTGCGGAGGTGTGATTCGGAACGACATTGGTGCATGGCAGGTTGGATTTTCCAGGTTTCTTGGCATTTGTTCGGTCTTTGAAGGCATTTGTTCAGTCTTTGAAAGTGAACTATGGGGAATGTATATGGGGCTCATATGTTCATGGGAGCTGGGTACGAGACAAGTTATCTTGGAGTCCGATAGCTTGGAGGCTGTCATGGCTGTCCAAAGGATTGGTTCGGGTATTGCTCGGGTCACTATGTTGCAATATATTGAAGAATTGCTGAAACGAGACTGGGTAGTTCGAGTTCAACATGTGCCTCGACAAGTTAATCGTGCCGCAGATTGCATGGCGTCGATCGAGGGAAGAAATCAGCTTGAGTGTGTGAAGTTCATAGTTCCCCCGGACGCGGTCTTGGGTGCTCTGCACAATGATGCAGCATATGATTAGTTTATTTTGATTTCCTGGTAGTCTTGTGTTATGAAAAAATCAAGTAGTGTATTATAAATATTTACAATTAAATTTAAACAAAAATTCAAACTTACTCAAATTTTATAAACTCGAAAAATTTTCATCTCAAATTTGAATTATAGAATAGAACTTGTCAACTCAAATAATTTAGTTTTTTGACTCGACTCAATTGAACGCTCACCTTCAATTATATATATATATATATATAGATACACACATGACAGTTTTTTGACTCGACTTAATTGAATGCTCACCTCCAATTATATATATATATATATATATAGATACACACATGACACTCTATTGCACAAATATTCTCTTTCTTCCGTGCCACAATTCACATGAAATATAACATTATACTTTGAACTATATTATAACTATGGTGCTCAATATGAACCTCTTCATGTTATATTTTGTAATCTAAAATTCTAAAATATTCTTAGTGAATAAATATACGTCAGAAAAACACGATGGTCATGTCATTTGCATTTCAAAGTGCGGGACAATGAAATTTAATTTTTATGGATTATAATGTTGTTTGTACCTAAATATGAAGCATGATTTTATTGACGGATCTTAATATTAAGTTTTGAAGGATTTATTTATATAAACATAATGTATTTGGTTCATTGAAATATAATAAAGAAATACAATATAATTTATTTATTGTTTGATTAATCAGAATTGAATTTCGTAAAGGTTTAACAGGAGTGATCCTCTAAATCTAACTTCATTTATAATATCGTAATTTTTTTTGATAGAATATCGTTAGTTTTATTAAAAATAGAAAATATTCTAAATTATAATGAAGATTTACAAGCATAATCATAAACCTACAATATAATTATGACATTTTCTTATTACCATTGAGACAAAAACTAGCCACCTAGATCACATAAGGAGCAAAGAAGGAAAATGTTAAAAAACCTAACAAAAAACTAGGAAAAAATAAAGATACAAACAAATCTGACTGCATCGGTAAATGAATCACAAAAAGAGATGAAGATATTGAAAGACCATCAACAAATCGCAAATCAGAGTCAAGTGACGTGAAAAACTATCCACGAATACAAAACGCTTATCCAAATCAAACCAAAGATCCAAAGTAGGGAAGATCATCATGACAACAAATAAGCGTCATCTTGATCAGTCGTGGCGATGTCAAATTCAACCCTGAGAAAAAAGATAAAAAAAAAACAACGACAAAAAGCTGTAAACAACGACAAAAACCCGTAAGCTACCAAAAAGCAGAGAAAAACATGCTACAAAGGTAGAGATAAACGTGTCATAAAGGTATAGAATATGTCACAAAGACATAATTATTCTTATTAAAAAACTAAAAAATAAGAAAAAAAATAAACGGGGGACGTCATCCAACATTAAAACCGGTGCCGCCGCCGGTTAAACAAAATTAAAGAATAAAAAGTTGGATTGATCAATAAAATTGTCACAAGTTGTAAATAAAAAAAAAGGAAAATAGAGGAGTTGGCTAGGATTTTTTTAATTGAATTTTATAACGCCATAATTTGAAGGTTGGATATTATTTAATTGATTATGTGAATTTTGTTTAGTTGATATGTATAAAAATATAAATATATTAATGATTTTTTTAAAAATATTTAAGGAGTCTAATAAAGAACGTTTATACATTTAAAAAAAACTAAAAGTGATTTAAAAAAATTGAAAATTTACTCAAAGGTTTGAGGTTTAAGGAAGTCATTTCCTATTAAGATTAGAACAAAGAGTAACAAATAAAATAGTGGTAATTTGTTCTCTTATTTCATTGAATTTTGTAAATGATCCAAAACTCAAATGAAAAAAATTACAAAACGGAAAATTAAAACACCTTATTGTTTTATTTGTAGTGAGAAGTAAATTCTCTTCAAAGGTTATATAAATCCCTAATTCCTTGAATATCATCCCCATGCAAACCCTTGCTTTGTCCAGGCATTATACTAGGGTACATGATGGCCCCTTCAATGGAACTGTGCCCTAAACCCAGAAGGTGTCCGATTTCATGCAATGCCACAGTCTCCAAATGATACGAATCGCGATTCACAGCCACAGACCATGGTTCGTCCGCATCGTAGTGGAACCTCCCATCGGTTGGTGCAAAAGCGTGAGCCAAGGTCCCACCGCGTCCATCGAAAGGGGACCCGTCTCCATGATCACCACCTTCGAAGCTAACCGTTATATCGGCATTTGCATAGTCCTCAGTCCTCGAAAACCTGAAATGTGTATTCGCAGCCCATGTTTGAAAAGCTCTTAAAACCGGGTTAACGGCATCGGCTCGAGTCCCCGGAAGAAATGCATATGTTAGACTGTACTTCGAAGCTGGCCATTTCGGTTCTCCCGAAAAAAACGTATAATGCAACACCGTATGAATCGATTTCGACCCCTGTTTTCTGCCGGACCGCATCCTTGAAGTTCCATTGATGACATCCACAACCCCACATCGCGGCGTTATCATCTTGGATACGGTATCGACATCCAACCTTCCGGTTGCTTTCAAATTATAATTCAGCTGATAAGTTCTAACGGCGGACTCTAGCAACTCATCGAAATCATCGTCATCTGCGTGAGTGCGGTTCTTATAACTCAAATACCCGAATTTTTCAAGATATTTTTTGAGTTTATGCACGTCTTTAAGGTTGTCTCCCTTATGACATCCTTGAAGGTGTCGAAGAAAATCAAATGGCGATGTGCTTTTGTGTTTCGAGTCTGCAAAAGCAGCCTGAAACATCAAGAAGAAAAAGAGAGAAAATGAGAAGAACAGAAGAGATTTGGATCCCATGATCATATTATATAAATTAATCAATAGATCTTCAATGGTCGATGAAATTAGCACATATTGTTAACCTATTTATACCCATATGATCTTTGAGTTTGTTTTCGTTTGATAGTAGTTTAGGGTTTTACGAGGACTTGGCAAATGAGGACCACTTTCACGATTGAAGAAAAAATCTCAATTAGGAATTACGACGTATTGCACAATGTGACATGGAATTGACTTAACGACTTATTACAAGTACATAGGCCACGTCTATGTTTTGTATTTATGTAATGACATTTCAAAGGAAGAAACTTTCCATGCATGGAAGAGAGACCGTCATTCGTTTAACAGGCACTGGTCTTTTTTTCCCAGGAAAAGGAAACCATTTAGGGGTGCAATTGGACTTTCAAAGTCGTGAAATGATGATGGTACAATTAAGCGGTACAAAGCACGACCCATTGGAAAATGGGTAATTTGGATCGAGTCACTTCGGGTCAGGTCATTTCGAATCGAGATTATATTCGGTTTGGATTGGATCTGGTTTGGATTTAGTTCGGGTATATATAAAATTGGGTTGGGTCGGGTATCGAGTCGGGTCAATTTTTGGGTGGGTTGATTTTCGGGCCGGGTGATTATAGGATCAGTTGTTTTTCAGTCCGGATCAATATCATACGATTGATTTTTGGGTCGGATTAATATCAGATCAGTTACATTTTGATTCGGGTCAATATCAGATCAGTTGATTTTTGGATCAAGTCAATACCAGATTAGTTGATTTTCAGTTTGTGTCAATCTTTGGATTAGGTCAATTCGGGTTGAGTTGGTTATGAGTCTAATCGAGTATATACAAAATTATTGATATATTCTTATAAAAAATATGTCTTCTTGTTTGTTAATCTTATCATTTATGCTTAATTACAATTCTCAATAGTTCATTATTTTAAATTAAACCATCATTTAGAGATAATATTTGACACAAAATACAATCCTATAACGTGTAACACTCATAACCCGTATACGTGAACCAATACAAGTTACAGATGTCATATCAGAAATTCAAAACATTTCTTTAATTGAACTGAGTAAAATTTTGTTTCATTCAAACAATATCATTTTCAAGCGGTGATAGATAGTTCTATTTTGTTTCGTAAATTAAATAAGACTTTCTAACACGTTTGATTTAAAACCCAAATTAATTTTTTTAATCATAGTTTAATATCATAATATTTATTCATACTATTAATTATATTTAATACTAACTATATTAAGAAATTGTAAACATTTCATTCTTGTATACATGCCAGCTAGAACGTTTAGAACACAATAGGATGTTGTCATTGTTACCTGTAAATATTTCCTTGGTGATTGATGCAAAGCTCAGCTCCGTACTCATTTTCTTCCTTTTCCTACTCGTGAAAATCATCACACGTTAAGTGTATGCTTAGTGAGGCAATTATACAAATATTCAAAGCAATGCAACACATAATTTAAATGAATAACAATATTCAATGCAATATGACCAGTTTACCTGTATACCATCCATGTTTCCATAAATTAACATGATATAATTAGATATAAAGTTTCTTACCAATATACTTTCCATTCATCCCATAATCCTGTAAGCTTATTTGCCTGTTTATCATTTATTAACCAATAAACCATAGTCTAAATGTAAATCTATGAAGACCATTATTTGAGTCAAATATGCACCAAAGTGCTAATACACATAAGGTCGTGACCACCATATGCACTTAGTGCCCTTGCACACTATAGTGTTGCACTAAATGTCCTCACACATTTGTGCTAATCCGATTATGCAACTGCTAGACTCTACGGCATGCCAATTACACTCTGTCCTTCAATGACTTACTTGGACATACAATCTATTTTATTTGATCCATTCATGACAAAGTATATCATCATAATTTAACATTGGGCAGTTAATTCCCAAAATATCATTCATGTTAAACATCGTATATGTTCATGATAAACATCATATGTAACGATAAGGGATCAATGCATTTTATATTCAACCTTTGACATATTTAGAATATATCAAATATATGATGAATGACATAAATATCATGCCAAATAATTAAGGTAGAATCATCGCAAGTCCTATCCGATGACGTATAGAACATCCACGTATAATGTTATGTATTCATTGCAATCATTTTGACATTAGATACAATTCAAAATACAAACCTCATTAAGCTTTAACTTGATTCTTTGCTTCTAATTTGGTTAAATCCAAAAATTTCTCATAATTTCATATTTTGGCAGTTTGCACTACCTTTAAAGAAATATTATTTTCTATTAATATAATCATTTAAAAATTATTCCATTTATACCAATGGAAACTAGACTAATATACGAATCTATCCATATAAGTCACTCCTTCTAGTTCAATTTTTTCAATTTATGGTAAAATTTCAAAGTTGACTGACAAAATATGTTTTTAGCAGAATCTGTTGTCTTGTTTTCTGACCTATCATTGGTTAAAAATTCATATATTTTTGTATACACCTCCAAATCAGTTTCTGTTTGTTCTAAAAAAACTATATTTGTATACTAATCCAACAGTATAAAAATCATTCTCTAATTATTTTTTTATAATTTATACTGATTTTCTAAACTTACTGTCCAAAACATAAATTCTAAGCAGGTTTCACCACTTTGCATTTTCAACTTGTTCACTAATTATATTATCTCACCAAATGCACATATATGCATGCATCACAAATCACATAACATTTTAGGAGTCACTCCTTACCATAATAACTCCGTCATTGGCTCATCGCAAGCCAATGTTTGTTCGATAACATAAATTCAAATGAAATTTGCACTCACCTGGTGTCCTTAGCTTGCAAACTTCCTTAGAATTTCAAGCACACAATATAAATAAGCGTCATTACCAAACATATACAAATTCAAACCAAATGTTAGAATCTTACTAACATAGTCATACTTTGGAAAATAAATTCCAAACAAATTTTCTGATGCTTATTCGATATAATTTCCATGTCACAACCTAAATGTTGACCTTAATACTTCTAATTGACCACTCAAGTTCTTTTTTATCCCAACTTCACATAACATTTTCACTTAAGCTCCCAACTTCCATATTTTTTTATTTAAACCTTAACTTTTCCAAAATAATCCAATTTCACATCCTAACTTCAATTTCAACACTCAAACATTAATTTTCAGCATAGTACATCAAATATTAAATAACTACACAACAATCCATAACTTTTCCAAAATTTTCAATTTGGTCCCCCAACTTTTTCAAAAATTATAGAATGGTCCCAATTTTTCTAAGGCTTGTAGAATACTTCCTACATCATTTCCAGCCCCTGCATAATTTTTCCATAATTTTTCTCAACCTCTATAGTCAAGGCCCGAATGCTTTGTATGTTCAAGATTAGGGTTTTCATATTTTACTCGATTATGATTATATTCAAACATGAAATCAACATCGATTCAAGCATGAAATCATCATCTATTCAACCTTATACAATCTCTACAATTAAAGATCTAACTTAATTTCATCAAAATGCGTCTTTCCCCTAAAGCTAGGGTTTAGCCGAAATTTTTATATGTTCATATGACCATGTACAAGTGATTTTAATCATCAATCATGCTTGGAAATGATTCTACAACCTCAATAACATCAAAATCCTTCATCAATTACATAAACCCTAATGTGAACATAAACCCTAAAATTTGGGATCTTTGAACACAAGCCAAATTAGCAAACAATAATGGTACCAAATGATAGCGTTTTTCGAATAGAACAATTTTCTATTTCACGACATGATCCAAAATCCAAATGAAATTGCTCAAATATGAAAAATAAAATTCACTTACCTTATTCACGGGGAGCACGGAATTTTGGCTGAAAATGGCTAAGTTTTCATGAAATTTCTAATGAATTTCATGTTAATTTACCTTATATTAAGCTTAAATGAATAAAATATTCGTTTAATGAGAAATGTCCATTTTCCCATTAATGAAACTTGATATTTACTATAATACCAAGTCACATAACCTTATCATATTTCCAAATTCAAAGATGAACAAAAAATTTTACCCTTTTCCAATTTTACCAAGCAACTTTAAAAAATTGCAATCTTGTCGCTTTAATCCAACGATTCAAATTAAACTTGGAAATAAATCTTCAAATCCAATGATCAATATTATTTCTATCATTTTAAAATGTGGAAATAATATTTCTAAGCTTAATTTAGCATCCTCCAAATTTTTCCCAAAATTTCTATTTGAACCAATTATCTGGATTTTTCTTGAACTTATCGCTTTATAGCTTTTAATACAAAATTCGTGCGAAAAATTTGATTCACACATAAACGTCATTCTTGAGGTAAAATATTCATTTATGGGGCCGGATTATATAATTTTTTAAAATTATGTTTTAGTCCCTAAATTTTTCCAAAGTTTATACTTTAGCTACTTAACTTTTAAAATTTACATTTTGGTCACTAATCAAAATTTTGGGGGTATTAGAATTCTTCCCTTTAAAAAAATTCGTCCTCGAATTTTCAATACGTACTTTAATGTAAATAGACAAGGATATTACGTTTTCATATCATATTCTATTTTTTATTAGTTTTTTCAACTTTTGATTTCTCTGTCGAATTTTAATAAGTCTAGTTCTTTTTCATAAGTCAATTCTAGATGAATCTCTATTTTCTATGGGGTGATAATATGTGAAGGATATGATTGATACTTTCTAAGCATCAACACATGAAAAACATTATGGATCTTGTACATTTCCAGAGGCAATTCTAGGTGATAAGTCACTGATCCAACTTTATTTTTTTCGATCAGCAACTATCTTGAGATTATCTTAAATGATCTTTTCCCATTACAAGGTCCATTGTAACCTATTGTTATTCCCACTAAGGGATAGAAATTGGTTACAATAATTCAAAAGGCACTTTATGCTTTACTTTAACTCGCCGACATGTCAACCATTTAGAAAAAAACTCAATTATAACTCT